TCTATGGAAATTTTCCAATTCTTCCTGAGCCCTTATTAAGACCATTCCATTTCATACTTTTTGATCATTTAGATGATTTTTCTACCCAACCCTTTTATTAAGATCCAGATTTATTGCATACTGAGAAAAATCATCCCCTCCTGCACTTTAAAATAAGTCTGCAGTGAAAAAGTAAAAATTTTATACAAATATTTCTCAACAAACTTTCTTGCATAGAGAAAAAAATTCTGACCCCCCCCATATTAAGTCCCATATTTCTCAGCAATCTTCCGTGTTAGTACACCTTTTTATATTAATGTTCACCCAATAGAAGTCCCAAGAGCCACTCAAGGTAGAGGGTTACTACACGATGTTGTACAAGCATATGGAAAGGCAAAAAGTGAAGTTCTTGGGGTTATGCAGGAAAGATGATGGTTAACCCTAGACTTGAAAAGGTCAAGATTGTAGTGATTGGGAAAACATCCTGCTAGGTGATGGTCCCATAAAGCAGCAGTTCTTGGGAAGAAACTGTTCAAGTTCAGTAATGAATAATAATTACACAGACCAAATATTATTAGAAAGTAAATTTCTAAAATCTACTGTTATTGCTCTTTCTAGTATTGATGGGAGTTTCCTTCCTAACCTTTTCTTTAAGGTAATGTGAAAAATCAACATCTAGATTATAACATTATTTTTCCTTCTAGTTACATGTTCTATGCATTTTAGTTTTTGTTGCTGTTGGAAGTCTTCAAGTGATGTGGTTTTTGCTATTTCATAAAGTTCTTTGTGATTCCATAGTACCAGTCTATAAGATCTGATGAAGGATTATTTTTAAGATTTAACAGATTTATTCAAGTGAAGCAATTTTAAATCATTGATCCGACAAAACAGTTGCACATAGCTGATAGTTCAGACATTTCTGAAGGAGTCAGATGCTATACATGACATCCACATGACTGTTTAGATAAGAACATGACTTGACTTTTTAGGTTAATGTTTTGGTTTTGTAGCATCCTGCAGTGTTAGGAGAAACTACCTCAAGCATGGTATATTCTATGTTCAATTTCTTTATGTCATATACTAAATTTGTTATAACTTATCCATACACCGAGACATTTGAAGTGTTTAGTATTTTTTAATTCTACATCCTGAATTTTTATGATGGATTTATGGTAAGTTCCATCACTGCTTTCATTTTAATTCCAGATCTGATTTGGAAAGATGTTGGCTCCAATTTAATGGGGGGGAATTTTTTTTTTTTCTTAATCATTTTACCCCAAGCAAGGCAAGAATGTTATTAGTATGCAGGGGGTTACAAAGTGAGAGAAAAGACTGGGTATAGTGGGGGAATGAGGAAAGGATGAAAGATGATGATGATTGATGTTGCATTTAAATTTTTGAAGATTGTAGTTATCAGGGAAGCAAGTAAATGGAAGGGAGTCCAACAGACATGAAGTGTGAGAAAAGGAACTGTTGGAGTAGAAGTGGTGGTTACATTTGACTATTTCAACAGTAAAAGGGTGGGACCTAGATGCCAATCTAGTAGCACATTTAAATTCATGTAGTTGGGCCACCAGGGAAAAAAGCTTGTCAGAGCAGTTACCATGAAAATGTTTGTAGAAAAGACAGAGGGAAGCCATGTCATATCGGTGAGAAAATGATTGAAGTCAAGATGCCAAGTCAGGATCGATTACATTGCAGATCCTTCATTGACAAAATCCAAAGGATCTGTAATGTAACTGCAAAAGATTTTCACTTCACCATTTTATAGGCAGGAGCACACAAATGAATGCTGAGATTTCTTCCTAGCCAATAAAATAGGCCTATTCTTGGTTTCACATGACTCAGTCCCAGTCTGTCTTGTCTTAAAGCCAGAATGCTGCGTTCGTTTATCCGAACTTGCTCTTGTGTCTTAATCCCAATTCTTAGTTTGTGAACTTTTTGTCATATTATTCTTGCTTTACCTTATTACTGTTAATTTACTTTGCATCTATTGTTTGCTTGCTTTATATTATTTTTTGCCGTGTTCTTTTCTTTTTCTTATTATTGCAAACTTTGTCAATTCTGTTTGTTGAAGAGTGCTGTCATTTATTTTACATTTAACCATAGCCATTCACTTTATAAAAGGTTTATTGTAAGTCTCACTTCTTGGAACACTTGGTATAAATAAGTCCAATAAATATTAAAATTCAATAAGAAAATAATATATGCACAAGATGTGCTTGGTATTGTAAACAAGAGATAAGGATTATTAAGCAAACTATTTTGTGTATCTTTCAGGCAAACAACAGATTAACAATGGATGAATTTAGTAGAGAATTACAAAGGAATGTATTTGTTATTAAAGTTCAATTCAGAGGAGTAGCAGTTTTTTTCTTTTTTTTTAAGAGAAATTTTGAAAAGAGAAAATATACACCTCTCTTTTGCACTTGGCAAATAGAGCAGAAAATTGATGCAGTTTGATGTTTATTTTTATTTTCTGAATATGATGATAATTACTTCAAGTTCATTATTATATATCTTCCTACACAAACTAGTGTGCTTATCTTGATTGTTAAATTCAGGTTTCAACAACACTACCCTACGGCTTCTTCAGGTATCTGCTATACTAAGATACTTTCTCAGAATTAAAAAAAAAATAAAAAAAACAAAATATGATTCAATCCACAGAGATAGAATGTTCTTATTCTGTTTCCCATATTTAAGAGATATCTGAATTTTACTTTGTCTATTTACCTTTTGGTGTTGCTTATCTGTTCCTTACAATGAACCAGACTATAACTCCTTTAATACCATGTGCCTTCTCTATAAATACTTTTATGGTTATTGTTTGGATGAACTTTCCTCTATGGTACCTAGACTTCATAAATTTAAATAGTACTAAATTGGTAGCAAGGACTCATCATTTTACAGTTGAAATGCCTAAATGTAACTGGAAGTTCTATGCTAATAGTTTCTTCTATCACACTTCTTACTTGTAAAGTTCTCTTCCGCCTTCTTGCTTCTCAGGCAATGAAAAGTTGAATTTATAACTTCAAAAATTTAAATGCAATGTCAATCGTTATCTTCTGTCTTCTTAATTCATGTTCTTTTATTGTTCTCTCTTCTTAATAGCGTTTTTTATCATTTTTTTCACACCCAGTAACCCTTTGCATCTTAGTGGTTTTGTTTTGCTTGGGGTGAAATTATTAAAAAAAAAACTGCCATGTTTTAATTAATGTGTTACTCTACTTGAACAATTCATTGGTGTAATTTTAGAACCTTAAACCTAATATCTGTACTAGTATATTTCCTTTCTTCTCATCCTCCTCACAAAGGGGTGACATCAAAAATAATTTAATGGCTCTATAGTCTATACAACATCAGAACAGTATTCAAAAGCAGTTCAACTCTTCGCAGATATCTCTCTGAAACCAAGACCTCCCTTCAGAAAAGAACAAGAACTGTATACATTCCCTCCCATGCAATTGTGGCAAAGAATATAAAAGTGAGATCAACGGCCCTCTAAAAGTAAAGGTGAAGGAACACTGAAAAGCTATAGTGCAAGTAGAGATATTGAAATCAGGCATGGCTGATCATATATGAAGAGAAAAGGAGTTGTCATTGATCCCTGTGAAATGAAGTTGATAGACAAGATAACACTGGATGATAAAATGGCTGAAAGAATCTTAACATGTTTGGCTGTGAAAACCTTTTCAGTAGACCAAGTATAAATACCATTGTGAAACCTCTGATTAAGAAAGAACATACAAAGATTCTGCCACCCAAGTATAGACATTAGGCCATCCCAGGTATGACAATAAACTACATCTAGCAGCAAGGCATCTGATCGGGAGATTGGAGGTTTTGAGGAGCATGGAACCTCCACTTAATTGCTGTTGTTCCCAGGTTCACCCTAACCTGGGGTGGTAGAACCTGTTAGGGTCCCTGCTATAAGAAAATAGTTAACCCTCAAACTGGGGTCAAAATAATATGAAAGTATTAAAAAAATACATTTTTGTACTAGAAGTGTCAACAATGCAGTTTCATAGTAAAAGAATTACAGGTAATAGATTTTCATAAAAAAAAAAAAATATTACCAGCAATACATTTTTATAAATGAAAAAAATTAAAAATTAGTACCAGCAATACATTTTTGCAAAAGAAAAATTACCAGCAAAAGAAATTAGTAATGCTCCCAAGAATATTAAATTTTGGCATTAAACGACCCAGAAGGAGTTGATATGCCATCAAACAAAAAAACAAATAAGATACAGACATTAGGATTATATCATTATTTTCTCATCTTTATTGTTGCTGCTGTTAAAAGTGCCCATGTGGTTTTGTTATTTGTTAAATCTCTCTGTAATTTTGTAATTCCAATCTATAGAGTCTGATGAAGGATTATCATCTTTAAGGATTAATTCATTTGAAGCAATTTTTAATCATTTATCTGAGAAAACAGCTGTTTTGATATTTCTGTAGGAGTTGAATGCTATGCATGATTTATTCATTTTCTACAGCTTGTCAACCCTTTGCAGGTTATTTAAAGTAATTATATTTTTAAATTGTAAGATTCTTTTTGAGACAATGATTTAATAGTACAAGTTTTACTAATTGACCCATAGCTGAGAGAGAAGTAGTGGATTCATATACTTCCCAAGAGTATTTGCACATAAGTGAATATAATGAATTTAAATGCAGTTGGAACTCTGCTCTCCAAAAGCAATTCCAAGCCATTATCCATAACACCATCTGTTAATTTCTATTCTATAGATTATATTTGTTATCCAGAATACGGATTGAATTTACATCCTACTGGTTATAAAAACTAAAGCTTTGTTGGATTAACCTGTCTCCCCAGCTAGTTCAGATGGGTTCAGCCCAAGTAGTTCAATTTAAGCTACTTGTCTTTCTCTAAGCAAAAAACACTTTCAGTTGCCTGAGGGATTTTTTTTGTCAGAGTAATTCAGGAATAAACAGACTTTCTGATGTCAGGATAATATCCTTAAGATAATTTAATACTACTCACATATCCAAACTTACAGTACCTAGTTTTCCCAAGTGGTTATCCATCTAGGTGCTAACCAGGCTCAACATTGCTTAACTTCAGTGATCATACAGGAATTGATGTTTCAATGTGATATGGCCGTAAGCCACACCATCACTATTAGTATAGCAAATGTTCAAACAAATTACATTCTTTATTCCCACCAGTTCAGACCTTCATGGTTTGGACCTGACGTGCCATGTTCACAGGGGCAAACATACTCATTTGTGTTCCTTTGGTAAGGAGTAAATTCCACTAAGACAGATTTTTCTCTAGAATTGTTACTTTGTGGAACAGACTCTCGAGAGGATGCTTCTCTAACCACTACAATCTTGGCCTCTTCAAGGCCAGGGTCAACTAATATATGTCCTGCATATCATCATATGCATGTCCTTCTACCTTCGTTAAAACAATTTCACTCAATAATCCTCTACCTTGAGTGGTCCTTGAGCCTTGTATTGGGTGAACTAAAAAAAAAAAAAATCTTTCACTTTTGTTTCTCTGCCATAAATTGATGTCACCAAATAAACTTTACTTAATCAGTTTTTGAACATTGGAAATATAGAATAATCCAATATATTAAAGAAAAACTAACAAATGCTATAAAAACAGGTAAAAAAAAAAATGCAGTTAATAAAAAAAAATTGAATGTAAGTATTTTTTTAGCAAACAAGGGAGAAGGATTTTCTACAGTGCAGAATGGCTAGAATGTATTAGTAAGAAGTTTGAAATATTTCAAAGATTATTTAAAATGAAAAATCATCTAAAATAATTTTAATTTAATTTTGGATAGTTTTTTCTAGAAAAGAAAAATTTTAAATTTATTAAAAGAATTCATTTTTTTTGTTTTTGCAGCAATAAAATCCTAATTGCTTCATTAGAATCAACTCTTTTTTGCTAGAAAATGTATTTTTGGAAAAATCTGAATAAAGAACAAGAAAGTATTTTTAAAAATCACTGGAGCCTTAAATTGAATTACATTTGTTGTAATTTATCATTTTAGAAAATTGAAAGCAACATGATCCACAATGAATCTTCCTACAAAATTTCTTTTGGTAAATTTAAAAAGAAAAGAAAAACACTCCTTTAATCTAGCCTCCTCATTTTTTTTTTTTTTATTACAACCTCTGTCTTATAATTGTTATATTTAATATATGAAATGTGTATGTAAAATGTTGCAATTCTTATGGATAGAGGTAGGATTCAATTTATAATTCTTCAAAGTTTTTCAACCAAATATTTAATTTTTAGAATATATTTTTGTATATGCATGTTAAATCAATTTTTATCTATTTGTAGGTATATAAATTAAAAAAAAAAAAAACATTTATAAAAAGATACCAAAATTATTATTCATTCCTTTTACTGAATTAAACTGCTACTAAAATAGAAACCAAGAATTTCATAATAATTAAAGCTTTAGTCTTCACAAAAAAAGTGAAATTCTGAAAACAAAATTTATTTCAGATATAGATGTGATCAAATTATTTATAAGTACAACATAAATAGATCATTATTATTATTATTTTTTAAAATTAAGCTTATCACAAATATATTGAATGTTTTCCTAATTTTAGTATAAAAAAATTGGTACTACTTAAATAGAATGATCCACTCGGAATTATAGCAAAATCTTTCGGAGAATAATTTTTGCAGATTAGAATTTATTTATTAACATTTCTCAAATCACAATATTTGTCAGTATCCAAAATTACTGATTTTTATCGATTCAGAACAGGGGTTATGTTCAGAATATTGATACAGTAAAATTGATCCCTGACTTTTTATAGAATTATTGGACTTCACTGTTATTTAGTAATGCCAATTTTGAAACTTCATTGATATTTGCATTATTTTTTTTATTGTTTTTGATTTTAAGGGTGGAGATAAAAGCATATGCCCAAACATTGTAGGGAGATAATTATTTATTTAAAATGAAGAATAACTTTTTAAGTTGTGTTAAGACATATACTTTTATTAATTTATGCAAATTGTTGTTCTTTAATTAAAATGCATGTATCTGTTTAATCATCTGTTTATATTTCTGAGATGAGGTATTATGTACACTATTTACATTATTTGGACTATTGTCCTCATCTTTGTCCCCATATTTATTACATTCTGGCCATTGTATGCTCTGGCTTTCTTCAGGCGTTTGGAATGTCAAACTGAACCCTTTATTTCACTCACTAGGATAGACTGTTCTAGTTCCATGTGCCATGTTTAATGGATGTCAGTTATCAGTCATCTCCTGTTAATTCCCTTCTCCAAGGACACATGGCACAGTGGATAAAGGCATTGGTTAGATCCAGTGACAGGACCCAAAGAGTTCAATACCCGGTTAAGGCAATGAGAACTTGGAGAGGGAAATTAACAGGAGATAACTGACATCCATTAAACATGGCACGTGGAACTAGAACAGTCTACACCAGTGAGTGAAATAAAGGGTTCATTTCAACATTCCAACTACCTGAAGAAGGCCGGAACATATGACAGAAATGCTGTTTAATCATTAAGTTATCTTTTAGCTAAAAAAAAAAAAAATTATATGCAATACAGATACCTCTAAAATGTCAGGGATCAATATTATGAATAGGAGTTCCCACCTTTCTAAAATGCTAAAAAAAAAAAAAATTATTTCAGTTCTAACAAATGTTTTGCCTTGTGGAAGGTCTAAGGAATTCTAATCCCTAAAAATTATTTCCAAAAGATTTTCCCAGATTTTTTTTTTATGAGTACTTAAGTAATGCCCCCAAACTAATCATGTGCAAATTCTTCTGAATCAAACACTAATATTTATTCAGTCCCTTATCAATTTCCTATAATAAAGGCATTACAATATACTTTTAGCATTAAAACTGAGACTGGATCAGTAAGTCTTTAGGGCAAATTATGAACTGAATTTTGTCCTGAAATTGTCACTCTATAATGTTTGATCTATTATTATAATTCACAACTGAATTAAGTGCTCTGGCAAGGAGATTATGTTGAAAATATCTGTGTAAAGAAAAATGCTTTGTATCATCTTGAAGCTACAGAGTTATTGATGTACCAAGATAAATATTGTGAAACTATGGCTGACACTCAATAATCAGCATCAGAAAGAAAAAAAATTTTAAAAACAATTTTGTATGAAAAAAAAAAAAAAAATGTTTGAACTGTTAAACAAAACATTTTTTTTTGTTTTTAGTAAGAAGAACATGAAAAAGTGCTGCTATGTATATTTAATTACAAAACAAATCAGAAACAATCAAGAAGGTGGATATTTTTTTAGGAGTGGCACAAAAGACATAACCAAACTCACAAGTAGTTCAATGGAAACATAGTGATACTAGAGAGAAGAGGGAAAAAAAAAAGACATCAATTTTCTCTTCATATGAAAAGCATTACAAAAGAAGAAAATTTTACTTTAAACAAAAAAAAAAAAACAAATTCCATACTTTCTGTCTAAACTTCTGAAATGAAGAATCATTGTTATAGATCAACTTCTGTTCTCATCTTGAATGCTAGAGTCACAACATTTGAACTGCTTTATTCTCCAACCTTTACTAGATGCCTGCCATTCTGTTATCAGAATTTTTAACTGAACTTTTTATTTAATCCATAGTGGGGAGACACTTTTCCATTCTGCTATCCAGAATGGAGTGGGGAAGATAATTCATATTAATTTCTGTTATTTTATCTTTTTAATACCACTTTTGTTTGTTCTACTCAAACCAAATTCCAATGCCTTCTCCAAGAACTGAATTCTTGAGGATTTGAGTTTAACCACTGAACTAGTCATATACTTTGATTCACTGAAACAAGCACAAATGACACCAGAAGAATGAATTAACAATGGACAAATCAGTAGAAGATACTCCCTTAGGATATAATGAGAACAAACTTCTCCATAAATTGAATAAAGGGTTGAGTTATGAAGAAGATCAGAGAGTAGAGCTGTTGAAATATTGTGACTATAGCAAGATTTGGAGAACAGCTTGAATAAATTAATGTATTTGCATTGTTTAGAAGAGAAAAAAAAACAGCCGAAATGTTCAAATTTAGAAAAAATTATTAAAAATGAAAATTATTTTGCTAGTGTTAAAAATATTCAAAACTCAAGATTTAATTGAAAATGAAAATGCAAGTTTAAAATTAGCAAAATTGGTGCAACTGTGTCAGTCACACCAACAGGAATGACAATACATTGATAAAATTATACAATAAACTATTTGCCATGGCTGCAAGACTTCATTTTTAGCATCTTTTTTTTTTTTTTTTAAAACCTAATTTCACCCCCAAGAAACGAGATAATGCCACCAAGACACAAGGGGTTACTGGGAGTGAAAGAGAATGAGAACCAGAAAATAGTTTCTTTTTTAATAATTGTTAATATAGATTTCTTAAATAGAATCCATTTTGCCCAGTCTTTCTTCCTGCATTTGATATTTCTTCAGTGAAATCCAATTTTGTCCTGGAATCTACAAAGAAATATCTGCTGATTGGAAAAACCAAATATCTTCATAAGAACATTTCTTCAGCATTTTTTCTATTTTTAAAACCCACTCAGGTCTGTATTTTGATAAATATGCTCTGACAATCTAATAAGTAAATACCATTGTTCTGAGATGCTTTCAGAGAGATATTCTGAATTTTGTTGAGAACAATTTTATATCATTTCATTATAGAGAGAGAAACATGATTTAAAGACTAAATGCAACATTTATTCATAGTTGGTGATTTTTTTAAAAATCACTATGAAGAAACGTTTACATCCCACTCCCAAAGCAGGAAACTAATTAACCTATTTTTACAATAGAAGAAAATATTTAGGCATTGTACAGACAGGTGATAATGCCTTGAAAGGGGACAACATAGATAAATAATTACCATTAGACGTGTATACAGTAAACAGACAACACCATAGATATTTATAATTCTAACAATTACTACATCAACAAAACTAATAGCAAATGCTAGCTGATTGCAATCAAAAAAGCACACAAAGCATTGAAGCTCTACCTGGTAAATATACTCAACATTTCTGCGTTGTCATGGGGAGAGACTGGTGGTGAAGGGCTCAGAGTGTAGACTGGAATTTTATTAAAATGTTCAGTTGGAACATGCATCTGAAAAAGAATAGAGTAATGTAAATTTATCTTCACAATTTATTTAAAAGATGGGGGTGATGGGGAGAGGAGAGAGAGGGGAGAGAGAGGGAGGGAGGGGAGAGAGAGGAGGGAGAGGGGGAGAGGAGGGAGAGGGGAGAGAGGGAGGGAGGGGAGAGAGGGAGGGATGAGAGAGGGAGGGAGAGAGGGAGGGAGAGAGAGGGAGGGATGAGAGAGGAGGGATGAGAGGGGGAGAGAGAGGGAGGGAGAGAGAGAGGAGGAAGAGAGGAAGAGGGAGAGAGAGGAAGAGGGGAGCGAGAGAGGAAGAGGGGAGCGAGAGAGGAAGAGGGGAGCGAGAGAGGAAGAGGGGAGCGAGAGAGAGGAAGAGGGGAGCGAGAGAGGAAGAAGGAGGAGAAGAGAGAGGAAGAAGGGGGAGAGGAGAGAGTGTGAGAAAAAAGATGATGAAACAATTTAGACTATAAATATAGTAAAATAATGAAAAACAATGCAATCAACATTTTTATGCTTAAAGAAACTTCATTGTTCAGTTATTAGTTTTTAACTTTCCCAGAAATTAATGAAAAACTTCCTTCCATTCTTTTATTTTTTGTCAATTTGAAGTCAAAAAAACAGAAACTGATTAATGACATTTTAGTATAAAAAAGAAAAAACAATCTTATTAAATTTTGTTTTCTGCATAATAAAGTGGTTTCTATTAAAGCCATGTTTAATTTTGTCAAAGCAAGTAAGATTTAAAAAGAAAATGTCATTTATTTGAGAATAACATCATCATAAAGACAAAAGCATGAAATCCAAGGAAATATTCATTAAATTTTTTGAAATTATCAAAACTGATTTAAATAGTCCAAGGCATTTGTTACTTACCTTGCGTATACATTTATTACAAACAACTCTCTTGCAGAAACGGCAATTATTACCCCACTGACTGAACAGGCTGAATTTGACTGATTTGCAAGAGAAACACAACTGAAAAGAAAAGGATATATATATATATATATAATATCAATTCATAATTAGTAAGGATGATTCCAAGGAGGACATTAATCCAAAGAGAGCTTAATGTAAGTAATAATGAGTACAGATGATCCTTTGAAATTTGTAAGAATCTTCTCTATTCATTACTATATAAGTACAGATGATCCTTAAAAATCCATTGTTATAATTTATTTCAGGAATACTCTATTAAAAAACTTTGGCCTGAAGAGATGAATATTTGTATATTCATGAAATAAATTATAACCAAATGGATTTTTAAGGATCATCTGTACTCATTATATATATATATATATATATATATATATATATATATATATTAAAGACATTTTTATGTTTAACGTTCATTTTTATAGATACAAGTATTTAAGTAAATGCTCTGTTTATAAAAAACAGTATTAAATAACATTTACCGGCCTGAATGTCCAAGAAATTTTCATAGGAAATATTCGTCCTTTGACAGGATTCGAACCTGCATCCTAAACGGAACCATCATTTACGCTGAATCTCGTACATTCATAACTGCTCTATCGTATCAAATGTAAACAAATGACGTCATATATTAAGAAATGGACAAAGTCCGACAATTTATTTATTAAAGACATTTTTATGTTTAACGTTCAACATGGAAGATTGAAGTTTATAAGCAGTAAATTCGACCTTATCTACCGAACGCTCCTTTGTGGCCGATCGGTAAGGCACGTCAGCGTAAATGAGCGGGGTGCATGTAGTCTGGGCAGTGCAGAGGCTCCATATACTATCACCCAAGCCTGTGCCCTGGAGAAGTCACTCTCGTCTCATCATTAAAAGTACTGAATTTTGATCAAACTGGGTGCTGCCTTTATCTTATGAGATAAACAGATACCTACTACTATAGGCACGTTTGTGTATTACATTCACACACATTAGTCATTAATTATAAAAAAAAATCTGATTGAGGAATCGCAGAGCTGAGTTCGAATTCCAGTCGAATCCATTACATTCACTTACGTGCTAATACTCTTGGGAAAGGTGTGAATCCTCTTCCTCTCCCTCCAGCTATGGGTAAAATAGCAGGACAGACTGGGTTCTATAGCCTTGGATGGCAACTGGTCTAGGAGAAGGACAACTCTGAATTCAAAACCTGCGGAGGGTCGTTTGGGGACCTTGTGGCACTCGGTGCACCAGGTCTCTGTATTCGTCCCTTCAAAAAGTGTGGATGGTCCTGCACGAAGCCTTCACCACTATAATCAAATCTCATGTGCCGGTGTCAGGCTGTCGGTTTCCTGGAAACTGATCTGCTTGACCCTCATATGTCAAATCTCGATGAGAGAGTCGACTATATATAAATAAATAAAAGGATACACAAGAAAACTTTTTCCTATATATATATATATATATATATTAATTAGTGAATATGTATAATATCCTACATTGATAACACAACTCTGCGTTTCATGCTGTTAATGCAATCTTCAGGTGTGGAGATTCTGCCTATTATCATTCTTGTGATGATCCTACCCATTCATATATATATATATATATATATATATTAGAAAAAATTTGTGGTTAAAGTTTTGTGCTTTAAGACTTCAGCAAACAAAATTTGTTATTGTCATAACAGATTTAGTCTGATGAATTCCTAAAGGACAAAACGTGTCACAAGAAAACATTTTCCATACATTCCTCCATTCCAATATTTTTCTGGATACACACACTCACACACACACACGTGTGTGTGTGCATAAAATTTTTCATATAACAGTTCAATATGTGGAAAATTTTTAGTGTTTAAAATGTCATTGTCCCCTACTCTGCAGTTAATGTGTGGTTATATTGTAGCAACTGCTATGCTTTTCCACGCCCACAATTTATTTGTCTGTGATTGGCTAGTAAATCAATGCTGCTTTTCTATAAGACAATTTAGCAATCACAATCATCACTTTGAATTTTTCGGTCGTGAACTTGCTCACATGTTTCTTTGATACAAAATCAGTAATTGGTAAAATTTTAACGAATCAAACCTTTTAATACTAAATCAATTTTTCCCGCGTTTTCGCTCGGAGCCTACCGGTACCTTTAAAAGGAGCAATTTTGCCACAAGCCGCCAGTAGAGTCCAGCTATTCCGCCTGTCCACACAAATCTACGACTTTACTCACAACATTTCAAAAGCACACAAACACAGATTTTTGTAACACATTATACATATCTCTCTCTGTGACTCAGCCAAGTTCATGAACCTGAACTCTATTAATTTCTCTAAACAACACATTTCTTAATTAACTGTATTCTATTCTAACAGCAGACTCTATACAACATAGAATCCTGAACATTCTTATTCAAGAGAGACTCTTTTGAACATTCAATCATAAATCAGAATACAGTTGAAGGGGAACAACTTTTTTCTCCCTTAATCATTACACTTCATTACATGATTGTTTTGTATGTTATATTTTCAATATATATTTATTTGTTGATCCACAATTGGAGTCTCTTTGTTTTTTCTTGAATCGTTAAATGTACAATAGATATATGCACTAAGAACACGCATCACAATATCAATGGAAACATCACTTTAGTCTGATGAAGTCCTTCCTAAAGGATGAATTTTTTCAAAATATGTCTGTATAAATAAAAGGCATTTAGGTGGAGGTAGATGTATACATACTTTTCCTCTAGAGACCAAATCATAGAGTTGGGGTTGTGTAATAAGAGATTCAATTTCTGCCTTGGTCAGCACTTGTCGAATGTGCATTACTTCATCCAGGGTTAAAGAAAGACATTCTATAGGATTCTGCCATTTTTTCTGTAAGTAAAACAATGTAGAGATCATTCAGTTGGTTGAACAGGTTTCAAATAATTTACCAGAAAATGGGGGAGGGTTAAAAATATGCAAACATTGAAAACAGGGGCCATTAACCATAACACAATGTATGAATGGAATTTGTATAAACAAACATAAATCCTAATATAACTGAGCATAAGGAAGTAGTCAAAAACAATATTGATATTACAACCATTCATCTTAAGTTATTTCTGTTGTAATAACATCTCTTAAATAAAAAAAACAACAAAATAAATCAATTATAAAGAAGCTGTTTGATATCTGGTCTGGTGCACCTGCTGTTCATCTCAAGGTTCTTAACAAAATCCAAAGAAGAATATGCAATGTAATCAACCCTGACATGGCATCTTCACTTCAGTCACTTTCTCACCGATTTACTATGGCTTCTCTCTGTCTTTTCTACAAATATTTTCATGGCAACTACTCTGACAAGCTTTTTTCCTTGTGCCCCAACTTCATGAATTTAAGTGTGCTACTAGATTGGCATCTAGGTCCCACCCTTTTACTGTCGAAATAGTTAAATGTAACTGCTACTTCTACTCCAACAGTTTTTTTCTTGCACTTCCTGCCTGTGAAACTCCCTTCCACTTTCTTGCTTCTCTGATAACTACAATCTTCAAAAATTTAATTGCAGTGTCAACCACCATCTTCTGTTGACTTGAACCCTGTTCATCTTTTATTCTTTCCTCAATGCCCCCTATACCCAGTCTTTTCTCTCTCTGTAACCCCCTACTTATTAGTGGCACTCTCACCTTACTTGGGGTGAAATGATTAAATAAAAAAAAAAAAAAATTTTTTTTTTAAATTATAAAACTACATATTAAGGGAGAACTCTTATCCACTGTATTGACAGTGTCATGTTTCAGGAGATATGGCAGAATTTTTCTTGAGAGGGATGTGTTAATGCTTCTCTCATGTTTTATAGCAGAACTGACATATAATCAAGTTCATAATCTTTATTATTATTAATAATAATAATAATGTATACAGGGTTGCAAATGTAGGTATTATGCCAGTATTATAATAGTCATTCTAGGATTCCTTTAATAATGTTTCATGGGTAAAGTCGTAATTTAACTGATGAGGAGAACAAATGGATTTTGAAAGTATACTGAAAGACGGAATAGTGATCAGGTATAATACAATGTTTTGTTTTTCATTACTGTATACCTACTTTTGCACCTCCCATGTACACACAAAGCTTGAGTCAGATACATTTTTCTTCAAAAGTGATTTACAACTTTGTGAGAATTTCTTTTTTTAGATTTACAGCTTTCAAAGGAAGTGACAGTTTTTTTTTTTTAAGATGATCTCTTTATTGATCCAACAATAAACAAGATCTTTACATTATGACATTCCTTCTTTAATAGCCAGTCTCATTTAAGTTATATACGTATAGTATTAGGAATTAATTTTTAATGAATATATTCACATCTACATCATAGATAAGAATTTCAAATATCAGTCAGTTATGTACCATGCGTGATACATGCTTAGGCAATCATGTATCTTTCGATACATGACTGATGAAGCAGATTTTTCCTGCAGTAGGTTGCCATTTCATTCTATCATAGACCAGTTGCCCTTCAAGGCTATAGAACCTGATCTGTTCTGCTATTTACCCATAGCTGGGAGGAGAAGATGAGGATTCATACCTTTCCTAAGGGTATCAGCACATAAGTGAATGTAATGGATTCAACTGGAATTTGAACTTGGCTCTCCAGTTCCTCAATCTGAGCCACTATCCATTACTCCAATGTGCCTCAAATTTCAAATATACAAACAGTAAATCAGATCCAAGCAATATTGACCAAAAAGGCATTAATGATTTTCATATATCCAAGATAAAGTCATTGGCAGACTGGGTCTAAAAATACAGTTACCAGGAGACGGGGGGAGGGTCACTAACAACTACAATGTGATCATTTAATTTTCATAAATATATGACACTGAAGCTGTGAGGTGGTTAAATATTAATTCTGAGCAGAAAAAGGGTTAAGCCCAGAATTAAATATAAACTGGAAGAGAATGGAAGGCATTTTCCCTGGTAATATGGAAGTGAAAAAGGGGTCATCTAGGTTGCCTCACCCCTACAAATTGGAATGATGCACCAAGAGTTTAATTTTTTTTTATCTATCAAAAATCTAAAACAAACTGGGAAATTGTTTTCTCTTTCTTGGAAAATTAGAAAAAAAAACATGTCATTGGTGAGAAGAGAGGCAGACAGGAATTATATTTTTGTTTGTGAAAACAAATTGAAAAATGAAAACGAGGAATGAACCAGTTGTGAGGGTTAGGATTATGAAAACCAATCCTATTGTAACAGGTAGGTGGTCTGGTTTGTGTTTTCAATAAGATGGCGATCAGCCCAAGGATGGAGAATAGTATGTCACTTTGTTGAAAATGTAGGTAAACAAATATATTTTCACTGACAAAAACCAATTAGAAAATAAATTTATCTATCGCTCTGAAAGTTAATTGAGAATGCAGTGGTCTGGTTTGTGTTCTTTCTGGACAGAAGTAATCTTAGGGAAGTGGAAAGGAGTCATAGAATTAAAATTAATGAGAATAAACTATGCCCTTTCACCTATGCACTTTAAAAATTAGATTTATCACAAAGACAGTTATGCCAGCTATGAGAGGTGGACAAAGTTAGAATTTGAGAAGGAAGGAGGAAAAGGCAGAACTTAGCTCCACCTGTGTGGAGTGGTGGTGTGAGATGTAAAGTGAAGAAGGTTGGAGTTAAGGGAAGAGCAATCCCTGTGACTACTCCCAAAGAAGGTGAAGAATTCCCCAAATTTGGAAACTTGATTAAAAAAGGAGAAATATGGAACAAAGAAAAACTTTATTGAGATTAATATGAAAATTGGGGTATTACTGAATACCCAGAACCCTTCAGCCCCATGCCAGTTTTGAACTGAAGTGCATATAAGCAGATGACTTTGGGAACTCAGAGATCTTGGGCTGAGAACCTGCATTGAGAGCCTCTGAAATCCACGTCACCTGCCACCAGATTTCCTGATTCCAAGAACTTTGAACACAGTTCCTCCAGAAGTTTAGACAAGGACCAGTGTCACTGTAGAGATTGATGCAGGAAGGGTTAATTTTTTTTTTTGTATCAAGAGTTACATAAATCAATTGAAGATTGACCCCATGAAGCTCTAGTTTTATTTTTTGTCATGAAGATATTTTTCTTAATATGGCACCTTCCACAGCTTGAACCAGCACTGCAATACTACGACCTTCAATTTTCAACTGATCTGCGATCAAGAACACAGCCTGGGGAGAGTTGGTGCAGACCAAAGGGGCCAGCAAACAACAACCAGTTTGGATCAGCATCAGCATTGACTAGCACAGTTAGCCCTGTGGCTAAAACATCATTCTAAGACCCTTAGGACCAGACTACTAAATGTGGTTACACCACCATGTGCAGGTTGCGAAAGGGGTTATACATTAATTGGCGACCATGGCCAAGGATTTGATCCTGGGTTGCTGGTGTTACAAATAAAATTTCCAAAAAATACATATGGAGAAAAAGGGCATATTTAAAATTTTTATGGAAAAAAATGTGTATTTACAGTGTATATGAACTGCACATATTACTAGGAATAGATACCAAATGTAAATGTTATAATTTAATTCTTTTTAGTCTTAAGTAATTGGTTGATATTTTTAAAGAGTTTACTGCATAATTTATGTAGTAACAAATAGTTCAAAAGGACAATAGATCATTGCATGCAGTCCACTAGATTAAGAGCAATCATTTATGCTCACTAGATGATTGTGTGAATCTGCCAATAATTGCTTCTGCATCCAATTTATCTAATAATTCCTTTTTTCCAGAGATAGCAAAAGATATGATTCCAAATTCTCCTCAGGCAGTGAATCTCTTAACCTTGTCTTTATGATCTTTAGCTTTGAAAATGTCCTCTCACATTGGAATTGATAGTGTGCAGATGACTTTAAAGTTCTTATTCCTTTTTATTACTAAAAAAGTTGTGCATTTTATTATTTCATTTTTATTTGATATGGGGGGGTTCCACTGACACCCTGGTGAGTCCATCACTGATAAAACCAAGTCCGCCATCATGATATGAATTATTCTGATGCAACTGTATTGTATTTAAGATTCATTTAAATGCCTTTTATGCAATATGACACTGAATAAATAACAACCAAAAATATGAATTAGAGAAAATAAGTTATCAACACTTGAATAGAAGTAAACAAATAATAACTTCAAACAATTTTGAGATAGGTGTAATTTAAAAAAAAAAAATTATCCTAAAATATTGACTGAAAATAAATAGAAATTGTAAAGAAAAGCACATCTAGGAAAGAAAATAGAAGCAAATGTAGTACACCAGCTTTTGTCCAGCCAAACAGCAATTTACAGATGAAAAGACCCAATTTCTGATTTGACCCAATCACCACTGCTGCAGATGGTCATCATTAGTAGGCAGTTAAAGAGTGCAAGCAAAAATTGCAGCTAAAATAAAGGGAGATAACCTAAGTTATAATTAAAAAGTTATTTAGCAAATGGAAGAAAGCTTTAGACAGTGGCATTAAAAAGGTTGCTTGTGTTAGTGCTTTTGGTGAGTTTAACATTGTTAAATGAAAAAATAGAAATTGTTTAGGTTCCCACGCTTTATGTAAATAACTGCCAAATACTCCACTGGGGATGTAAAAAAAAAAAAAAAAATGAAATTTATCATTTTTTATAAGAAATTAAGAACTTGACCATAATATTTCTCCTTTTTGAATGAGAAAGAATAAATTTACAATAAAAACAATGTGCAATATCAATGTTTATCAATAGAACTTTTTCAAAAATGCAAACAACTGTAATAATTATTTTAAGCTGAAAGGTCATCAGCACAAATATATTTCTACAACTGACAAAGTCGTCTACAGTTCAATCCTTTGTATGAGATTGAATTTTCTTCAAAAATTCAACTTTCAAATCAATCAATTTAAAAACATGGCCAACCTGAATCTCTTTTAGAATAAACAATTCAATAAAAATATTCCAATAAACTCTCATGATTCATGCAACAGAAGAGCAGTTAAAAATTGCATGATTTTTTTTTTGTCTCACCCCATCACAAAATCTAAAATGTTTAACCAGTACAAATACAAGAAAAAAAAAAGTTAATATTTTTATGTTTATTAAATTGCAAAATAACTAAAAAATAGATATTGAAAACTGTAAAATTAAAATTACAGATTCAGGTTTTAAACAGATATGATTGAAATACCGATAAGCAAATTGCTTTTATGTTTAAATTTGTCTTTTTGCAAGTGTTAAAAAAAAAATACTTTTTGGTATAGCATTTCAAATGTATTTTTTTAGGGTTTCTTTGCAAAGAATAAGTCTCTGGATTTTTTTTTTAGTGCAAGCTGTTACATAAAATTATCTAACTTCCTTTAAATGCAGTTTCTTTTTTTTTTTTATCCAATTTAGAAAAAAATAAATACCATACAATGTTAAATATCTTTTCCTTTTATTTTGATGAAGATTTCCTCATAAAACAAGGATTGACTTTAATGTAAACCAAACACTCCATTTGTCATAACTGAGTTGCATAGCAAACAATGTTTCTGGCATGATCACAAAGAAATATTCAGAAAAAGTTTAAAAAAAAAAAAAAAAAAACTTAAAACAGATCTAAGTAAAAATTGAGGCATTTCTACAAAATTACATTTAGATGAAGATGTAAAGTAGGGTTTATAATAATTTATATTTAAAAAGATACTTACTTGATTGGAAAGCACAATCAAAAAAATAAGTTTAGCAAAGAATGTTTTTAAAGCAACACAAGCACACCACATTCATAAGCTAAAATCTTGCAGCAAGACAGAAAAACCAAAGTTCATGCCAAAATGCTACAGAATCAATCTTTGCATGCAAAAGGCAAATGGTTCTCAAATTTTCCATGACCAGAGAAATCTTTAATTGAATGAGAAATACAAATGCCAAAATTTATGTAACAAAAAGCTTATGTAACAACAGCTGAAGATAAAAAGAAAACATGATAAATTATGAGGTACAGGTCAGGTCATAGTTTGCAGCATAGAACAAGAAATTGGAGAGCAGAGTTCAAATTTCAGTCAAGTTCATGGCATTCACTTTCACAAAAATACTCTTTGGGAAACACATGAATCCATCTTCTCTCCCAGCTATGGGTTAAATAGCAGGGAAGACAGATCTCTAGACATGGTTGATAAAGAACTCTGAATTCAAAACCACTCAGTCACCTGAAGATGTTCATAGAGGTTAGATTTCAACAACTCTGGATAATTCCAATGAAGAGAAATTATTTATATTGTTGTTAGCATCAACAGGCACAAGGTCAAGGGGAGTTGACTAAAATAAATAAATACTAAATTTTATAAGTTTTCTAAATTCTCAAACTGCCATACAGTGACCAGCTTTCCTTTAAGATAAATAAACAGATCACTTATCCTTTTAAAACATTTGCAATTCTGGTCATTTCAATCTGGGAACCACTGCAATTTGCAATATATATATATATATATATATATATATAATCTTTAAGGCATGTCTGATTGAATAAATTACAAACATTATATTGGTTTATTTTTATCATAATCCTTTCATATTCACAAATATTTTTCTGTATATCACAATTAATACACACACATATATATATTTCTTGCCTTATTTAATTGTAAATTATGGAAAAATATTCATGAATATGAAAGGTTATAATAAAAATAAACAGACATAATGTTTGTAATTTATTCAATCAGACATGCCTAAAAGAGAATTTTCTACCTAAATATATATAATAAAAGAGGATAAAAATGTCACATCACTGAAAAAGAACAAAAAATCCTGAAAATTCTTGATATTGCATTGGAACAGGTTCAATAAACTTATGAAAATATATCAGCATATCTAATTGTCATGAATAATCCTGAATATTTGTGTGCACACACACACACATATTTATATATAAAATGGTTGTAACTTAATCTAATATTCTTTGCTGTGACTATTCACATCCATCCATATCTGTGTGTGTGTGTGTGTGTGTGTGTATATATATATATATATATATATATATATATATATATATATATATATATATATATATAGCAATTTACATAAGTACCATGATATTGGTGAATTACTCTGTATTATATATATATTTTTTAATAAATACTTACATGTGAATGTCTATATTTATTTGGAACTTGTAGTAAGTAACGTGTGTGTGTGTGTCCTAACATTTATTTTTTTTTTACCTACAAAATTCAAATTCTTCCCCACCCTTATTTATAATTGTTTATTTTAAATACAAAATTCAATTTCTTTTTTTTTCTTTAAAGAACAATCCTCGTATAAAATATGGACCCCCACTACCATTGTGATAACCTGATATATTTAACAAAATTTAAATTATGTTATGGTCAGTTACAATTCAGCCCCTGAAAATTGTATTGTACTACCAGTGAGGTGAGAAAAAATGTATATTTAGTAATATATAACAGAGGAGAAAAAATAGGATTGTCTTATGCAAAAATCTGTTTAAGTTTAAGCTTGACAGAACAGTCACTATTTTTTTTTTTTTTTGTTACAAATTTTGGACATTTAATATAATCTATAAAATTAATTGGTAGATTACATCATCCTGAGGAGTGTCTAGGGCTATTTTACATGTAAGTGCAGATTCTTATTTATATAACAAAGTATACAGGAAACAAGTTACATGTTCCTTCTTTATAAAAAGTGAATATATTAGTTTTAAAGTTTGCATTGTGATGGTTGTAAATTAATGGGTGAGGTTACATATGTAATGATGGGTCGCTGGCATGTTAATACCAGAGGGGGATCATTTTTTCTTGTTATAATTAGGAAAAAAGTTTTTTTTTTTTTTTTAAATCACAGCTTCTACAATTTTACAAACATTGTGACAGTAACAATGCAAGTGGTTTGTTTCATCTTGACAAAATGTTTTAGTACAGTAATGTCTATATGGGTAAAATGTATTATGTATTTGTAGGTTAACAATGCCTACTAGTATTCCACCATTTTGGTTTCTAAATTTGCAAATGTGCTCAGGGGCTCATTTAGGGATTTACTTGCTTAAGCCAAATCTAGCAGAAAACCAAATAGTATTGTGCTGTTTGGGAAGTTTGAGATTCTTCTGTGTCACAAAAATTGAGGATAAATGTGCCAAAAACATTAGACATTCAAAATCTTGCTCTAACATAGTGAAGTGAAACTGTTGATGGTTTGTCAGGCTTATCATTTTAAAGATTATTCAACCAATACCAAGAATAGAATTTCTTCTCTCATAGAATTCAAGTAGTTCTAATTTTATAGAATCTCATTCTTTAAAATGATACAGAAGAAATTTTTCAACAAAAAAGTAGTAAAATTTTAAAAGATGCTTATGTACACAAACAGGGTGTTTCCTCTTTTTTAGGATAACAATTCATTTAAAGTGAAACCTAAGATGCCTGTAGTATCATTTGATTGATATTTTATGACTTAACCCTTTGCAGCTTATTTAAAGCCAGAAAATATTTTTAAATTGTAAGAAATTTTTTTTGTTTGGCCGATAATGGTTTAGTGATACAAGTTTTACTAATTAACCCATAGCTGGGGGGAAAAGAGGTGGGTTCGTACCTTTTTCAAGGGTTTTTGCATGTAAGTGAATTTAACAAAACCAATGGGAGTTGTAACTCGGCTCTCTGATTTCAAATTTTGAGCCATTACACCACCTGCACATCCAAGCTTACAGCACCTGGTATTCCCAAGTGGTCACCCATCAAGGTACTGACCAAGCTCGATATTGCTTAACATCAGTGATTGTGTGAGAACCAGTGTTTCAACATAATATGGCTGTAAGCAGTAACATTTAAAAACAAAATATAAACATTGGTCTCTTGTAAGGCACAAAGGCCTGTGGCAGCAAATATTGTAAATTTAAATTAAGGATTTTAAGTGGTGCAGAGAGAATGATTTATTTGAACTGTTTTTTTTCCACATGAAAAATGGCAGCTTGGTACTTCTGGGTAACATTGTCCCTTCCTCAGTAGGAATGGCCAAAAAGAGCAACTTATGAAGAATAACATGTGATATCAAACATCACTGGCCTCTGGTGAGCAGCTGTGAAACTACAATGGTAAAAGGTGACCAATGATAAAATTTTTTGTATCAGTTTTTGCATTCATGCTTTTTTAAGACTTCTTGCACTGGTACTGATTCCAATAATCCTTGTATACAACAAATTATTTTCTATCCTTTCTCAAGTCTCTCCCTGCTCCATTTCCATGGAAAGTGTTCAGACGGACTACATTACTTAGTTCCACCAGTTCTAATCTTCATGGCTAAGAACCACCATTCTACACACATTGTACTGAACCACCTTCATTCCCTTCCTATTCCATTGGTAAAATGTAAGTTCCACTTGAGTAGCGCTTGTGGAACTGACTCCCTGGAGGATGCTTCCCCAATCACTACAATCTTGGCATGTTCAAGGATCAACCATTAACTTCCCTGCATATTCCCATAAAACTGTACCTTTTACTCTGTAACCCTCTACCTCAAGTGGTTCTTGGGCCTGGTACAGAGTGAACATTATGGTAAAAATGTTTTATAGAAGGCAAAAAAATTATCATCCAGTGGGGTGGAGGTGCAATCAGTCCCCAATCCATTCAGTTTTGTATTTCTTTAAATCATACTTGTAAAACAGAGGTTGGTTAGACATGTGTTGTCCTCAAGTCGTCATGAGTTCAATCCCTGAATCAAGTAGTGAAACACTGCTTCAGCAGGAATGAACAATAATTGGCATTACAGGGACAAAATAACATGACAATCAACTCCTATCCCATACCAGCCAAAACAATGGATCTCTGATGATGACCCTGGGGCTATTTGGCTGAAACATTGTTCCTATAATAACATCTATAATGGCCAAGATGAGAAAAATAGTTTGAATAAATTATATTTACATCTAGAAAATGAAAAAACAAAAATGAAGTAAAGCAATTACGTAAAACATTTACATAGAATTATTTAGATTTTATATTAAGATGAGGACAACAGTCCGAATATAAATAGTTAAAATAGGGATAATTTTTCATCCCAGAGATTGACAGAAATTTACATAGAATATTTTAAATAAATATCTGGAAAATACATTGAGAGTGGGATCAAAATGTTTGTGAATAAATTTCTATAGCAAAAAATAAAAGAACGTAAACAAAAAAATTGCCAAACTTTTAATTATAAATATATGAATCTTCGCAATTTTTAACCTTCGTGCAAAAAAAAAAAAAAAAAAAAAAAAATGAAATGTCAGAAGAACAGTTTTTCCCTTGACACTGCTATTATTTTAAATATCTTCACATTCTTGGCAATGTTTGTTTGAAAAAGGCGATGATTAGAATTGTAATAAAACCTAAACATGATGAATGTGAATTTATACATTTTTATTTTTGAGAATACAAAATTATTAAACATTATTAGATTGTTTATTTACAAGAATTTTAATAAATAAATTTAGTAAATAAATAGTGTTTATTATTTTTATTGTCAATTGTCAAGAACAAAGAATATGTATAAATTCACTTTTATATGTTTAGGTTCTATTCCAATTCTAATCACAGCTTTTTAAAACGAACATTGCTGAAGAGTGAAGGTAGTTAAAATAATAGTGGTGTCAAGGGAAAAATCGTCCTTTTAACAATGGTTTTTTTTTTGCAGGTATGAAGGTTAAAGATTGCTTGAATCTTTATATCTTTAAATAAGATTATAAATCTATTTCTCCATTGAATGAATAAAAAAACTGAAGAATTTAATTTGCTCTGAGATAATAATTAATAACATTAACACTTTAAATACAAACCATCAGGTTGAACTTTGTGCAGTCTACAATTGTGCATTATATGGAGATTAAAAAAAAAAAAAAATCACTTAAAAGCATTTTTTGAAAATGCTATAATTCATAAAATGTCCACCTTCATTCTCTATGTAAATTGGAATAATTTTATAAAATGTTATTTATCAAGGAACTGATAAATTTGTATTTTTTTTCCAATTTGTTCCATAATATATTTTCTTAATAATAGTGAAAGTCACCTAATGTCTGCAGCACTATGTTGTATATTGGTAAGGTTGTTCATTTTCCCAACCAAAGTGTTTAATTCTAATGAACATAACATTTACTTATTAAACGACCAATACATTCTTAATTTCTGACATGGTGTGGTATTACTGTTGTACAATAATTCCTTCAGATTAGTTTTTTTAATTGCTGTTCAAACAATAGACAATCGAGGAACATCAAAAAACAACAACTGAAACATAGTAAAAACAACAGAGATCAGGAAACTGGAGAAAAAAAAAAAATTGAAGGCACTATTCAGCCTTAGTTTGATTGGCAAAGGTTCTATGTAGCCAAGTTGGTTAAAGTGTCTATCAAAGTTATGTCAAATAAAGATACAGCCAACGCTTTCCACTTGTAGGCTTAATGGCCGTCTATAGCACAATGAAGTAGGCTGGGCTCCATAGCAATCAGTGAGGTGATAGCACAACATCACTGGGTCGAAAGCTTTGAAGTCAATGGCCAGGACAGAAGGTTCAATAGCAACATATCCATGACCAAGGTGAGCTTTCAAGTTGAAGGAAATCAGTTGTTCTTTGACTTGAAAAGGGATGGGCTCTGAGAGGTCTACTTGCTCAAGACAAAACTATGCATGAATAAATACTTATCAGGCTTTTAAATGCAGATATTTGGAGGGAAGTGGTCAGGTGTTCAGCTGTGCATCCTACAACCACACCCAGTCAGGGGAATGATGGTAATAAATATAGATCTATAACAAAAATTGAAGCGGTCAAATATTTCATTGCTTTGACAAACATTTAAATAAATAGAAGCTAAAAGAATCACAACAAATTAGGCAGCACTTATTTGATTAACTATATTACTTAGAATGATTACTTTGTTACTTATATAAATGCAAAATGTCTTGATTGGCAATAATATAAGTGACACATGGCTATAAAAAAATGGTGCTGTTGGTTATGGCTAATTTGTTTAAATGCCCTGACCATTGTTTGCATCACATGGCAATAATTAAAGTAAAATGACGCACTAAAATAAGTAACTAAGTAATTGTTTTAAGTTCTCTGAATATTGGTGCCAAAACGAATAAGTTTCTTATAATGCTTACATTTCCTTCTAATTTCTTTCAGTATTAATAATTTCAGTTTTCAATAATTGACAGACATTATCAATGCAGAAAGATTCAGTTTTATTTTTAAAAAAATATGAAAATTTGTTCTCTAGTAAAATGTATCTAAAAAGCTTTTGGTAATTTTAAATTAGGAAATGTGACTTAATGATTCAAAACAAAAAATTTTATCTAAAATTTTCAAAGTAACCTTCTTGTATATTTAGAAAGTAAATTTAATCATTTTTCTGCCCTCAAAACAATTGCTTTTTAATTTGATAATCTGTAAAATATTTAAAATTTCTGAATAAATTTAAACCAGCTTCCTTGTCACTGTTGTTTTTATCATGCTTTCATCTTCCTCCAATGATAGAGTGATATGAATATTGTAATAAAAATGAAACAAAAAATGAAACAGGAAAAACCTGGTCCAAATAATTCAATGGATAATTGTAAGAACATCTCACCTCAGAAATTCAGGCAAAAACTAATTATTTCAGTTTGACCTGATTTTTTTTAAATCTGTTTCTACTGAGAGAGAAATACATTAAGTATGTAAACATCATAAGATGCATAGGTAGTGTAATTGATATTGGCACAGAAAGTGAAATAGGCAAGGCAAATTCATATTCAGAAATGCTCATGGGAAAGGCATGAATCAGTTTCTTTCCCTTCCAGTTATGGGTTAAATAGCAGAGTAGACTGGACTTTCTAGTCTTGGGTGGCAACCAGACTAAGAGACAAAAACTGAATTCATGAAGGCAACAAGAAACCCTTTCCTCAGAATGCTTGACAATTCATAGATAATAAAGAATCTGCAGAGAGCCATGATCACAGGAATTTTGAATGGACATGGTGTTAAAAGAATGTAAATGACTCCAATACAATAGTGTTGTGGCTTCTCTTTATAAAGTAGATTTATAGGTACAATCACACAAATTTGTATGTAAGAAAAAAACCAAAAAAAAACCAATATAACCAAACTGAAGGAATTTGTGAATTCAATAATATGGCATTTATAAATGGCATCAGTTGTTTGTTTTCTTGTCTACTATCCTTGTGAATATCAGGGTGGGGAGTTAAGAAATTGCCTTCCACTGTAAGCCACTTCATAACTAAACATCAGATAGAATCACATCACCATTTGACTTAAGCTATTTGAATTCATTCATAAAAGATAATTAAAAACAATGTTCTGGTTGATCACTAGCATTAAGCAATGAGTTTGTACAATACTTAGATGGGTGACCATTTAAAAATAACAGGTGCTGTAAGCAATGTAAAGCCAATGTGCTAGATTAAACAAAACTTGCAAAAATAACATTTTCAGATGGACCTTTTTTGTGTATTTATCATTTTCTAAAGTCTAAATATTTATTAATCATTATCACCTTGTATGTGATTTCATTTGCTGTACAAATTGCTTATCCTGCCACTGACGGTGACTGATCCCTGAATAGCATGTGTGAATTTTATAGTTGTGTTGTCATATCCTACTATGGCAACAGAAAACAATTTGAAGAAGAATGCAGTGGAAAGGGAGGTAATATTAATAATGCAGAAGGCTAAAGGTTAAGTTATTCAATATGCTTGCCATATTTCAAATATTGAATTAGTTTTTGTGAATTCATAAAGTAAAAAATTACAAATCAATTGTTTTTAATTTATGG